GAGAGAGAGAGAGAGAGAGAGAGAGAGAGAGAGAGAGAGAGAGAGAGAAGGGGGGGGCACGTGCTACTTCGTTTCTTCTTTGCCTTTTGCCTTCCAGGAAATGTTGCAAAATGAACGCCCGGCATTATGGCTCTTATGTCAACGCTACTCCTGACAAGTCCCCCACGAGACGAGCAACTGCCAAGCAGATTGAATGCTGATTGTTTCATTCATACAATGCAAAACCTGCTTCACATCAGGAGGCGACTTCCAACAACTTCACCGGGCCAATCATCAATGACATCATCGGAGCCCACCAAACTTAGACTCACCCACACGCACATGCACTTGCACACGTAGAGTTTTGGAGCCGACCAAACTGAGACTCACCCACACACTCGTGCACTTGCACACATAGAGTCAAAACTCGGCAAGTAAGCACGGGGCATACATGCAAGATCGCTTTATCACAAAGATATTCAGAGAACGTAGGAAACAAAAGTCTGAATCGGAATCTTTAACAAAAACGTCAATGGGACAACGGACAGGATTTTCTCATAAAAGTTCACAGTTCTTGCACAGCACAAAAAAAAAATGATGCTGCGAAGGTAGCGGCTTCCAAAACAAAACTCTCACAGATAAAGAAACAAAAAAGGTTCGCTGGTATTCCCCCTTGTTTCTTGCACACGGATTTCTGTCTGCTCTCAGGCTCTTCTTTTTGTTTTTGTGAAAGAAGCGGCATATGATAGGGCAGTTCCTTATGCTTTTTCTTTCTTTTGTGCTTTTTAGTTTTCTGTTTTTGAGGGCGAAGCCGCAACGGGTCATCTAGTGAGAATTTATGCATACTTGGCCCTGCACATCGATGCGCATGTCTGTCTGTGTGTTTGTCTGACATAGATGAAAGGTGATCATCATTAACTAAGAGGGGATCCATAGCTTGCTTTCGTGCTTTGCCCTTCTACATGACATGACAACTTGTGCACTCTTGGCCCTGCACATCTACGGGTATGTCTGGTTGTGTGTTTGTCTGACATAGATGAAAGGTGATCATCATTAACTCAGGGGGGGTCCATAGTCTTTCTGTAGTCTTGCGAATGTGCAAGGGAAACGAGCGATAGCGAAATGACAGAATTCCACAACGCAAAATCACATTGAAAGCCAGAAAGTCGAACATTGTCCAGAAAGAAGATATGCACTGATGCTCCACCGACGGAAAACCGAAGCATCGAATCCAAATGTCAATGAGAGCATACTCTTGCAACCAGCAACGTGTATCCAGAGCCCTTCCTCCTACTTGGCGCTCAGCGCCCAAACTACTATCACACAGCATCTAACCAGCCTACAAAGTGACAATGCAACCTGTTGACTTCAGCAGCAACAACCGAAGTACAATGAAGATGTCGACCATGTAGACGATCGCCAAGACCAGGTAAGTGCCCTCACATCACCATCCTCATCTCTCCCTCTCACTCATCACCCTCGTCTTCTCACCCACGTCTCCCTCATACACAAAGACCACCAACAGCTCAGTTGACTGACCAAACCGAGCCCTGGCTATGAAGGGCTGGCTATGGCGCTGCCTTCAGCAGCGGCCTGCTTCTTGCGTGACCGCACATGCCTGCACACTTGCCCCTAATGCTAAGCAGGGTCTAAGCCCGCTCGCTCACGCTCCAGCAGCGCTGCCGCTCGCTCACGCAAGTGCCAAATTCCCCTACACGGAGCCCGGCCCTTTCCTATATGGAAAGTGGCGGGCTCGTTGCCACTGGCTTGCCCTGTGAGACCAAGTTTCCAGTAGCTTCAGTCTCGGTCAAAGTGTCTGCGCTCAGGCCCATTCAGACAGTGGCCTGGGACCGAATTGGTTAGGCAAGCCCAACCACCCAGGCACAAACGTTCGGTGTACCCTGCTTTTACCACATTGCCGGAAGAGCCTTGGAAGGCTCACAAATATTTTGGATTCTCCCGAGCAAGGCGGATGTAACCAACTGGCGCATTGCAAGATTTGCAAAAATTGATGAATTCAGGGCCCATTGAGATTCAGGGGCCCGCCTTCAGGGTAAATCCTTGCAAATGTTTGGATATACTTGTGTTTCTGGGTTCTGGTGCCTTTTGTATTACGGATGGCTTCAGCAAGAGATCTTCTGGTGAAGGAAAGCAACACAAGGTCTTTGGAGACAGAGCATGAGCTTACATGTCTGGGTTTCCTGTCCAATTCTGTCTGCTGTGCTCTGTTTTACAGGGGGATTCAACAGGAGGCCAACCGATGGAGGGAAGTGAAGACATCAATCACGAGGATGCCTATCTCTGCTACGAGGCAATGGATCTGCTGGTAGGTAGCTTTTCTGTGGTGATATTTTTTCTAAGCACTGGAGGTTCATACTACGTATGCTACGTATGCTGTTTACAGAGGTGATGCATATTCATGCTGTTTACATATTATGTGGGCATTACTGAGAAGTGCTGACTATCAGTTCCAGTGAACCAGTGGTTTCACAAAAGGAACTGATCAGATAGATTGGAGGAGACCACATAAAGGAAAGGCCGTCAAGAAGGGTGTCGTAGAAGTCAATGCACTGTCCTTTTCTGTGCAGGCGGCTGTCTCCTTTGGGGCGCAACCCTGCTAGTGGAAGTCTACAAGCGAGCAAGTCATGGCAAACGGAAGTGCTCTACAAGCGAGCAAGTCATGGCAAACGGCAGTGCTCTTGCCTTTTCTGTGTAGGCAGAATCTTCCCTTTGGGATAGGGCCCTACCAGTGGATGTCCACATGAGACAGACAGCATCTGAGGCAGAGGTTTCTGAGCAGCTGGGGAGGGGCAATAATCTGAGTCATGTAGATGTATCTGGCGCTGATTGCGAGAAGATACGATCAAGGAAGTTCCTCAGGCGAGAATTCAACTAGCCCAACCAATCGAAAATGCAGAGGCCAGACGTGAAGGGCGTGATGAGGAGCAAGGAATATCATGGGAGCCAAGTCAAAGGCCTGAGGGAAAACTAGTGAAGGTGGATAGAAGTTTAGGGGAAGCATTTCCCAAAGTACAGAACTGCGTTTTGCTGACCTGGTGTCAGAGTAGAGAAAGTATTGCCCTAGAGGCTAGAGGGAGTAAGAAGCTCTGTTTTTTGGGTTGGTGTTAAGGTGGAGAGGTGAAGTTCCTTTAACTGTGTTTCGAGACTTGCTACTCTTCTGTGGTCATAATTATTGTGGATACCTCACTTAGTGAAGGATGCTGGAACAAACACATGGATTCAGGCCATGGTATCACAAGACATCTACAGGCTGTGGCTATGACTACCAGCCAAATGAACCAGGTTGAAACAAGTTGAAAATTAGAGTCTTGAGCATTGACCTTAGCGCTCAAATATTGCACCAAGTTTAAAGTGCCGCAGATGCTGGAACAAGCACATGGATTCAAGCCATGGTATCAAGGGACATCTGCAGGCTGTAGATAAGACCACCAGCCGAATGAGCCATGGGTGACTGAGGATGGGGAGGTTGAAACAAGTTGAAAATTAGAGAACAGTGTTTGCAGCTTTGCAGAGAAAAAAGGGAAAATGCGAAGTGGTCATATGTGACAACCGTATGGGTTAGGCATCCTCTAATATACAGACTGCAAAGCTACGTATGGGTTAGGCATCCTCTAATATACAGACTGCAAAGGTCGGTATGGGGATCATTCAACGTACTGGCCAGTGCTAGATTGTGGACACACACGTCAACTCTCTTTTCGAAAAGGAAAAAGGCTTGGGAAAATAAGTATGTGGTTTTCAACTTTTCACTGTACACACTGCATAACTATAACAGGCATTTTGTGGGTGTTATATCTTAATTTCTTCTTTTCTGAATTGAGGTATGGACTCTTTTTTTTTTTTTTAATTCCTACTGAATTGAGATATCAATATTTAATATTGTTTTGTTGTGCCCCACTTCCCTTATCATTTTTGGGCTCGGCTTTATCTCATGGCACAGTACATGTTTTTGATTACTGCTTCTGTTGGCTGTGGGTGCACAATTTTTGTTTTCGCAGGTTGTTTGCCTTGGCATGAAAAAGTCATTAATGACAACCTTCTTTTCATCAGATCTTGTTCAGCAGTTCATCGTGGTAAGAGGAGAGCTTTATCCACTCATTTTTGGTTAAGCTTTCTGGCCTTAGCGACTTCAAAGTTCAAACCCATCCGAGGATAATTTATTTGACGAATGAGAAAAGGGCCTGGTGTGACATCTTCTCATCGCAGCTTTGTTATTGTTGGAATGTGCATGGCATGTGCATGCTATGGCCAAACTTAGGCTTGTTTTGGATGACCATGGTTGGCGATGAGATGAAGTTCCAAGGGGGCAGCGAAGACGGCAGAAGGCAGTGTTCATTATACGAAAGTGTGCTCAAAGTAGTAACAACATCATGCAAAAGCCCATCAGAATTCAAGATTTTTGAATTCCTTTTCCTTCTCTGTCCATTGGGTCTACAGTTGATGTGTGCGTACAGACTCTACTACAGAGCATGTTTCGGCAGCCATTGTGACCGTTTCAGTTGACAAGAGTCCAGTGATAGATGTGGACGCAGCTGCTTTGTTCTGTTCTCAAGGCTAATGGATGTCTGTTGCCCCCCTTGCTGCAGGATATGGTTCTTCATTCACCTGATGAAGGCATCAGATATAAGGCAGCTGAGAATTTTCTACAACTCAGGTAGTCATGACCTTTTTCCATCTTGAGACTCGCACCCCCCAGCATAACGCTGCCTCTGTCTCTGTCTCTGTCTCTGAGAATTTTCTACAACTCAGGTAGTCATGACCTTTTTCCATCTTGGCACTCACAGCCCCCAGCAGAATGCGGCCTCTGTCTCTGTCTCTGTTTCTGTCTCTGTCTCTGTCTCTGACTCTGACTCTGTCTCTGTCTCTGTCTGTGTCTGTCTCTCTCTCTCTCTCTCACACACACACACTCTCAGTATTCCTCCACCTTTGTTCCTCCACCTGTGCATCAGTGCCTTAAGTTGCAGACACACTGACACCTGACCACACAAACGTGGGGAACCTTGCACCTTCTATTATATTGCTAATCTATACTTTTTTTGTTTGTGGATGGTTTGTGATGGTACGAGGATGGAATGAGAGAGAGTTTGGGGATGTTGACTAACACACACGTACGAGTAATGAGCATCATCAAGAGAACACACAAAATGTAAGCTGAAGATCTGAGGAAAAATGAACAGGAATATACTGCCAGCTTTACTCTGCCTCCTTTCAGTGTGCAAGTGGGCCGTTATAGCACATGGGGATGCGGGCAGTTTGTGCGCAGCCACAATCAACGTGGCAAGCCTTGTTGTACATGACAGGCACAATAAAAGGGGAGCTGCAAGAACAAATGAAAGGGGTACCCCACAGAAAGCCAAAGTGGACACAATTAAGAAAGGGATTTAATTTCATTTAAATGCGTGCCACAGAGCTAAAACTGTTTCATTGTTGGGTTGTCTCAACTCGAGTGTTTGTTGTCTGCAAGAGGACTAAAGCTTCTTCGGTTTTGGTTGTAAGTTGCAGACAGGTTGACACCGCCCAAGGGAGTTCAGAATGATAATGAATGTATACAAGCCATCTCTCTGGCTTGATGCTGATGCATGTGCAATGAACCCGGTCTGACAGATACTCAGAAGTCGTCAAATACCTGTAGAATCAGTATCTGCATCCCGGTCTCCAGTTCGTGAAGAAATATCTCAAACGGTATCTCATTACCATCAATAGAAGTGAGTGGAGGGGGAACAGACAAAGGAGAAGATGAAGATTCACACAGTAAGCCCTTCTGAACCCTCTCCTTCTTCGGGCTTCCTCCCTCACCACATCAACACTGATAATAAGTACAATCCTGATCACACATGAAAGTGCCACATGGCACTCGATCTCATGAAGACCACGAAGACATTGCAGATTCCAGTATCGACTTTAATCCCAGGTGAGTACCCGTTCCCCTTCAGCCACAGATCTTGATCTTCCTCCTTCCTTGCAACCAGTCACCACATGTAGACAGCGTGGACAATGCCACGTCAACAATCGAAACAGGTGGCAATCGCCACTTCATCAATGTAGACCAGTAGCAATGCCACGTAGACCATAGGCAGTACCACATAACCAGAGGCAGCGCCACATCATCATGCCACGTAGACCATAGGTAGCGCCATGTATAGCAGAGGCAGGGCCACATCAGCATGCCATGTAGACCAGAGGCAGCATCACGTATACCAGAGGCAGCACCACATCAGTATGCCACGTAGACCATAGGTAGCGCCACGTATACCAGAGCAGCGCCACATCAGCATGCCACTAGCGCCACGTATACCAGAGGCAGCGCCACATCAGCGTGCCATGGTGCACTGAAGAAACACCAGCATGCCGCCTCCACCTTGTGCCGTCGTCCAGAACGCATGTTGCACAGCCAGCATGAAGCCAGCGTCGTGTCGAAGTCGAGTCAGCGTCAAAGCAGCATAGCAAGACTGAATGCTCGACTCTCTTGAGGCCAGCCTTAAGTAACAGATGTTGAGGCTGTCCGGCCTCGGTCCTCTTTCCTCAGTCGTCCAAATTGACTCACATCTGAAGGCCCGGATGATATAGTTGCAGACTTCTCCCTTGGACCTGATGCTGTCTGGGTACCAGCATACAAACAAGTGTCTGTGCTTCACCTGCGGCCTGGGCTAGGTACCTTTGGACTTATGACTGTTGGGTGGACCGACAGTTGACTGAAGTCAACTGTCACACTCCCAGGCCCTGAATTCGTGAAGGGCCTTTTCTGCCCTTGTTCGGCCTGGGTTGAGGGCGGCGAGGGAGGCCCTCTGATGACCCTCAGTTCCACGAGACATATGGCATGGGTTATTGCACATGCCTATCAACAGATAGGCAGTGTGCAGACCCCACAGACCAACAATGTGAATAAAAGAGTAGCAATGCAATCACCAAAGAAGCTATGGGAATCAAAATCAAGACAGTACAAGAAAATCTAGCAGAGTGGAAGACTCAAATCGTGATCGGACTCAGTAGGCTCAGAACTTGAGATACAGACATCATTAGACATGTGGAAGGGCAGGGAGGGTGTACATACATGGATGAAAGGTCCCTCCTTGCTCACACACATATGGGGAGAAAAACATGGGGAGAACCATGGATGGTGGAAGTGAGAGGACATGAAGGAGAAACAAGGCCGAAGACAAGAAGAACAGCTCGAGATAACTGACAATAGTCTTTCCGAGCAAAGCGGAACAATTGTCTCCCTAAATAATCTCTCTCTCTCTGTCTCTCTCTCTCTCTCTCTCTCTCTCCCTCTCTCTCTCTCTCTCTCTCTCTCTCTCTCTCTCTCTCCCCCCCCCCCCCCCCTCTTAGAGGAAGCAGTGGCTGTTGCATACTCGTGAAACACAGTCATAAGTATGGCGCAGATTCCCAGAACCGACCCGATAATACAGAGTTAATACAAATGCAAGCGGAAGACTTGAGATACCTTGGACTGACTCGGACTGCAATCGAACGCTCTCAACCATACATCAGGGGTGTGAAAGCCCTGGCCATTGACATAGATGCAGGCCAGGGTCTGAGATCATCCACGGACGAATGGAGGGAGGAGAAAGACGAAGGGAGGAGGAGAGGGAAGATGACGTGAACTCAATGTTTCCAAAGGTATTATCTTGAAATGTCAGAAGTGACGAAAATCCGAAATGTCGCGAATACCAAGTCTCACAATGTCGCAGATATCGATCTCACGATGTCAAGTACATCTTCAGAAGGAAGATGATCAGATCCCCTAGTAGTCCTCAACCTGTGGTCCCAATATCGCTGTTCCCAATGTGTGTGTGTGTGTGTGAGAGAGAGAGAGAGAGAGAGAGAGAGGTGGAGGAGATGAGAGAGAGAAGGCGAAGCCTTCCTCCCTGGTACCTGGCACAATAGCTATGGCGTTGCAAGGGGCTGAGCCGGTAACTGGCGCTGCGCCCAATGCTGCGCTAATCCTCTCGCCGCTGAACTCTTGCTCTCTTGCTGCTCCTCGCTGTGCGGCAGTGCTGCGCTAATTGTGCTAGCGCTGAACCGCTGTGCTAATCCTGAAGACTAACCTCTAGTCCATACTACTAACCTCCATACTGAGGCTTGTACCCAGCCTTCTGTAGGGCTGGGCCGGCCTCCTACCTGCTGGTACCTACCGGCCTGGACCGTTGATCTGAATCGACGGTCCAGATTCAAACTGGACTTGGCGCCTAAATGTGGCAGCCTCTGCGGCGCCGCCGGTAGGTCCTACGCTGGACCGGTACCGACCTTGTGGCCGTTGGCCTGGGCCTGTACCCCTGGCCTGCCTGAACCGCCCTGGTCCAGGCCCATCTGGGCCTCATTTGAACCATCGTCCCTTAGGCCTACCCTGCCTACCTGGAACCGGGCCCTAACTGGGGCCCGTGTGGCTCAGAATGCCACACACTCTTCCCCTTGAAGACCCAGCTAACTGCGAGGGCGAAGCTGTCTGTCCGATGTCCGTACGGGGCGGGCAGGTTGGGCAGCTTCCTTAGCAAGTCGCTGTTTTTTGTAATGCGCGAAGATGAGGGGTGTTGTCGCCTTCAGATCAGCTCGTGAAATCCAGCGTGTGTCGGGATCACATTGCTTGAATGTAACTTTGTACTGCATTGGCTTGTTGTCGTGCTTGCGATGAGCGAGGACGCAGTCGACCTCCTGATGGCCATCCATTGAAGGAGGGTTCTATGACCGTCTGCCAGGCTGGAGTGTAGACCGCCAGCTTTGAAGCATGAAATATCGGGTGGACCATCAAATGCGGGGGAATCTCAATGATGAAAGATGGACCTACGGGGTCGTCGCCGGCTGGTGAAGTGACCTTCCATGGTCCAAACCACTTAGGGAGGAGCTTGCGCGAGACGTGCTGCTCGAGCGGGAATTCCTCGGAGGTGACCCAAACTAGGTCGCCAACGCGTATTGGACATGGGATGCGACGCCGGTTCGCTTGCTGCTGCATACGGACCTGAGCCTTTTGCATGTTTGCGCGGGCTTTGGCCAGCAGTTCCCTGTACTTCCGTGTTGAAGCAGGGGAGCAAGAGGCGTCGATATCGGCAGCTTGTGGAAGCAAGATGTCTGCGAAGATACGTCCTTTCCGTCCACCATGGTTCAACTCGAATGGAGTCACGCCAATCGCTTGGTGCACCGAAGTGTTGGCGAACTTGATGTCGGGAAGGCTGTCAATCCAGTCCTTCTGATCCGGGCGGATGAGTGTGCAGAGCATCATTTGCGCAGTCTGGTGCGCACGTTCTGTTTTGCCCATCCGTTTGAGGATGCCGTGCGGAACTCGGTTTCATGCTGGTGCCGGATTCCACCATGAGTGCCGTCCAAAAGGCCGACATGAAACGAGTGTCGCGGTCGCTGACGATGTCTTCCGGAACGCCGTGGCTGCAAAACCAGTCGGTATGCAAAAGTCGTGCGAGCTCGGGAGCCGTCGCATGATACTTGCATGGAAGAAATCGAGCGTACTTGCTCAAACGATCAACGACCGTGAGAATACCGTCATGGCCAAGGCGATCGCGAGGGAAAGGGCCGGTCACATCCATAGTAATGGAGAGACCCGGTTCTCGAGGATTCGGCAATGGTTTCAGTTCCATACGGGAGCTGATGGCGCCTTTGGTTCCGGTGGCAAGCTGCATATGATTGAATGTACCGGTTGACGTC